TCTACAAGCGACTGTTGGTGCATTCTGGTGTCATTCATCATCTGCTGAAGCACATCTGCCAAGTTAGTAGGTGGTGCATGCTGAGGCGTGGAGTCCCCCATATACAAGGCTGGGGAGATCCAGGGTAGTTGTCGTGTCTCGGCATCACCGGTTTTAGACTGTRGTGTGTAGTGAGCCCTTCCAAATGGCGGCTGAATGGACTCCGGAGGGGGTGGCTGTAGGTCTCGCTTCGGTGTAGATACATTWGGTGTGGAGTGGGTGAAGCGCAGATCTACTTTGGCAACTTTCGTTGCCGCGTCAGTAGGTGTATCCTCCTTGGTTTCGGTATTCATCTTTAGTTGGGCTAACTCGGCCTTCATTTGCTTCATCTCTTCTTCCATATCTTTACGTCGTCTCTCTMACTCTATTTGTAGCTTGATCCTTTGACGCTCTAGATTCATTTGCTCTTCGAGCTCCTGGCCCTTGAGCTCGAATGCCTCCATCTCTAGGGCTTGTTGTCGCTTGACAGCCTGCACCTTAGCTTCAAGGGCAGCATTATGTTGTAATGTTTGTTCAATTTGCGATTGTTTATGTTGTAACTCCTTTACTTCGTCATTCTCAATTTCACTGTCCATTTTCTTGTTTCCTTCATTCAAATTCTCACCACCGTCTTGTTCGTCGTCTGGTTCACCATGGTCCTTTACTGGGTCCTTCAACTCTGCAATCCAGACACCAACTATGTCGTTGAGCTCATTTGCCCGTGTAATTGCCTTTTCCCAATATTCTTCTGCATCCCGAAGTTCGTCGTCCTCTGTAAGGTGGTCAGTATACGCCTTGTGGGCGGCGGCAAAATCTTGTGTTAATTGGTCAAACTCCATCATTCGTTCCTTTACTGCCATAAGATTGGAGTCAGCAGCCATTAGCTTATCCACAGCTGTTATAATTCGTGYTACTGCCGCCTTTGCTAAGGCACGACGTGACTTGAGATGGGCAATTTCATCTTGTAATTCCTTAGGTTGTTCGACGATCTCAGCATTTTCTTCTCCAGACATATTTACACCAAATAAACCCAACCAACGGCACAAATATAACTTGAATTGATCTCTACTTCGTGATTATATACAACTAATCTTGAATTCGGTACCTGTCCTAACGGCGATAATACTTCCAGAACGATGATAATATTTCCAACAATGGCGTCAATTTTTCGAAC